TAGAGATAAAGCCACTACTTAAAGTTTCAAAAGTTCGAATTTAGGATTGTTAGTTTGTAACAATCCTAAACTTTATGAATCTAATAACATTATTCTAAGATAAATAGAGCAAATATGGACAGAATTACAAAGAAAATTGATAAGTTTACCAGAGCAGTGGGAAATTTTATTATCCCTCTTTCACAAGAAGATCAAGTAGACAAAAATCAAGACTTTGGATATAGATTTACACAAAACAATCAACAAACTTGATTCCATGAACATACAAAGGGCATTGTGAGTGTGAGAATACATATTTTTACGAGTATATGAACTGTTAAATTTGACCATATATTTGACCACAGGAGAATTTCAGCAAATTTTAAGCTATTTGAATAATACAGAACACATTCTTTCACCACAATTCAGTTAAGTTAGGAAAAAAGTTAATATCCATACAACTGTAATTTTGAAAATCTCTCTAGAGGCTTCTGCTTCTGACTAGGATGTAGTAGGTCATGGCAGCCTAAAACTCTTCCTGCAACAACTAAAAAAAGATGGAAAAATTATGAAGATCATGTTTAAAGATATGTGAGAGTTCTGAAAGCAGTAAGACTAGGTGATGGGAATTGCAGAGAGGGAGGAGCCCTTATGAGGTGAGTGACCATTTTATTTTCTAGGGACATTTACTGATTCTGGACATGGACTAATAAGGGTCAAGCTTGGTCCATGAAGAGGGTCTCTCCTGAGGGAAAGAGAAACCCAGAAAAGCTTTTGGTGGTCACATGGGGCTGGTGCAACAAATTGGAAAATTAGGAACTTTGGCCAGTTTCCTCTACCGGTTATAAGTTGGGTTCCCCAGGAAACAGACACTGAATCTGAGATTTGCATCCAAAGGATTACTGGGGAGTCTTCTCAGGGAACAACACCTATGAGGGAGCAAGAGAAACAGGATAGGGCATAAGAAGTTGAATGGTGATACACAGCAGTTGCAACAGTAGCCTCAGCCAGTCTCATAGGGAGCTCTGATGATGGGGTGGCTATTAAGAGATGTTCTCAATTGACACTAGGAAGCTGGGCCTTTGGGCTCTTGAATATAGCCGTCATTGCCTGTAGGCTTCCCCTGGGGATGATGGCATAATCTTGGGCGAAGCATTTACCTTTAGTCAAGGGCAATTGCTAGAGAGGGATGCAGCTGTGGGCCCTGAGCTGATAATGGCATTTGGAGGAATGAGTGTTTCAGACCCAAGGCAGGATCTAGGTGGTGCAACCACAACATCCACTCTCTTAAATGATACTTGCTAAATACTGGGGCTGTGTATGGGAGCCTGGGGAGTTAGAGTGAAGACTTAAAAGGCAAGGGAACTGTCAGTCCTTAGGAGACAAAGTTCTCCACATTCTTACCAACACATCTTTTTTTATTATAGCCATTCTGGTGAGTGTGAAGTGTTATCCCATTGTGGTTTTAATTTTCATATCACTAATAATGTTAAGCATTTTTTCATGTGCTTGTTAGCCATTCACACATCTTTTTGGTAAAATGTTCATTTTTTTTGCTCATTTTAAAATTTGAGTTGTTATCTTCTTATTAAGTTGAAGTAGTTCTTTATATATTCTGGATCCAATGTTTTTATCACATATATGATTTATTTCCCCCACAGTCTGCTGCTTGTCTTTTTGTTCCCAACAGTGTGTTTCAAAGTGCAAAATTTTTCAGTTTTGATGAAGTACGGTTTTTATCCTTTTATGAATCATGCTTTTAAAGTTGTATCTCAGAACTCACCTCAACCTAAGTCATAAAGATTTTCTGCTATATTTTGTCCTAGAAATTTTACTGTTTTAGCACTCACATTTAGGTCTGTGATCCATTTCAGGTTAATTGTTGTTTGGTGTGAGATGTGTAAAGGTTAATTTTTGTGTTTAGTGTGAGGTGTGTAAGTTCATTTTTTTTGCATGTGGATATTCAGTTGTTTTAGCACCATTGTTCAAAAGACTCTCTTTCTCCCAATGAATTACCTTAGTAACTTTGACTAAAAGTCAGTTTACCATAAATGTAAAAACTTATTTATGAACTCTCAATTCTGCTTCATTTATTTATATGACCACACAGCCTTTTTTTGGGTATAAATTTAAGGTGTACAGGTGAAGTTTTGTCACATGGATATATTGCATAGTGGTAAAGTATGGGCTTTTAGTGTAATCATTACCCAAATAGTGTACATTATACTCATTCAGTAAATTCTCATCCCACACTCTCCTTCCACCCTCCCACCCTTCCAGGTCTCCAGTGAGATTCCACATTCTTTGTTCATGTGTACATTATTTAGCTCCACTTATGAGAACATATGGCATTTCATTTTCTGAGTTTAATTTAAGTGCCTCCAGTTCCATTTATGTTGCTGTAAAACACATTTTATTCTTTTTTCATGGCTGTATAGTATTCCATCATACATATATATTCATATATATTAATTTTCACCTATTTGACAAATTCCAACCAATGAAGTCATCTGGACATGGCTTTTCTTGGGGGAAAGATTTTTTAATTACTAATTTCCTTACTATAGGTATGTTGATTTGTGCTTTAATATTTGCTTGCTTTGAATTTTGCTTGCTTCCCTCCACCCTCAGTTTCTTAAGGAGGAAGTTTAAATTATTGACTTGAGAGTTATCTTCCTTCCTTTCTCTCTGTCTCTCTCTTCTAATATAGTAATTTGCCTAATTTACTAATATAGTAATATAGTCAGGGTACTCCAGGGAAACAGAACCAATAGGATCTCTTTCTCTGTTGATTTATTACAAGGACTTGGCTTGGCTCACATGATTATGGAGTCAAATTCAAAGATGTATATCTATACGGTGAGTCAGCAAGCTGGAGACCTAAGAGAGATGATGATGTAGTTCCTGTCTGAAGGCAGGAAAAAGCCACTATCCCAGTTAGAAGGGCATCAGGTAGGAATAAGTCTCTCTTACTCAAGGGAGGGTCAGTCTGTTTTTTCTATTCAGACCTTCAACTAATTGAATGAGGGCAATTAGTGGAGGACAATCTACTCAGTTTAGTGATTTAAATATTAATTGTATCCAAAAATACCCTCACAGAAACACCCAGAATAACATTTGATCAAATATTTGGGTACCCTGTAGTGCCATAAGATTAACCATGACAGCATTCAAAGCTATATAGTTTCTCTCTAAATACTGCTTTAGCTACATCTTGTTAATTTTGATAAGCTTTTTAAAAATCGGTTCAACATATATAATTTGACTTGTGATTTCTTCTTTGACCTATGGGTTATTTTGAAAGGGACTGTTTTCCAATATTTTGGAATTTCCCATACTTTTCTGTTTATTGATTTGTAATTTAATTATTAATTTTGTTACTCTGTGGAGCCAAATGCATTTGAAATACAAGGATGAATGCTGTTTCCAGGCAGAAAGCTACAGTGAACTAAAATTTAATCAGTAAAGAGAAAAAAAAAGGAAGAGAAGGACTTCCCAGGAGGAGAGACCAAGCATGTATAATATCAGGATAGGCTTGAAAACACATGTGCTTACTGCTGGCAAGATGTTAAGTGTGGCTGGAACAAAGGAAGTATAATTTGTATCTTCTTCCTTTTTGTCTTAATTAGTATAGCTAAAGTTTGTTAATTTATCTGATCTTTTCAAAGAACCTATTTTTCTTTCATTGATTTTCCCTACTATGATTTTTCTTTTCTACTGTGTTGATTATGAAGGATATGTAGCAGGGGTACAGAGGAAGTTGTGGGACATGATGTAAAAAGATAGTGCCAAAAGTTCCATGGTGTTCAGATTCCAACTTCACTCTTCAAACTTTCTTCTGAATATTTTTTCATTTTGTATGAGCCCAAGGATCATACAGGAGAGATGTATGATCTCAGGATATTCTTGGCTGATCACCAGCACCGAGGAAGCAATTCTTGGAAGAATAAGACCTGAGCAAGAGGTGAGTGGTGCCTCTGCTAACTACTCTTCTGCAAGTCTAGTAGTCTATCTAGTCTGTCCTTGAGAGTTGGCAATATAGAACCTAGGCGTTGTGGGCAGAGGAGATCCTGAGGCTGAGGTGGTAGCAGGAGTAGGGCCCTAAGCATGATTTATCATTTCCTTTATTATACAATGAAATTAGAGGCTGGAAGCTGTCATCTCACCATGTCTTAACATCTTAGCAATATCTAATTTCAGGGGGCTGCAAGCTCTCTCCCCACCGCCACTCCTGTGATATAGGCTGTGCCTTTCATGAGGGAGATGAATGCTAGTACCGAACTTGGTCTAAGAAACACCGGGGATGGACTGATAGTACTGTATAAAACACAGCTTTGGGTTGCTCAGCTACTTCAGAGAGTGAAGGATGGAAGCCAGAGTGTGTTCCAGAGCCAGGAAAATGAAATCAGGTCTTCCCTAGAACTCCCCGTGGTGCTCTTCCTGTCACCACCTCTCTTGCTCTTCACTCCCTTGCAGGCTGACTCTCCCCACCCACATTTCTCTGGTTTTCCTTTTACAAAAAAGAATGTCTAAGACTCAACAACCCATAGGGCAGTGACCATTCCTGAATAGTTAGTGAGCTGCCCTCAGCTACTCAGCCTTCACACACTGCTGAGTCTGGAAGGGTGTGTATTGCTGACATGGACTGAACTCCCTGATGGGTGTGCCATGCTTTCTGGCTAATGGCTGTGTGCACATTCCTCATCTCCCCATGACTCCTACCCATCTTTTCCTCTCAGGACTCAGTGCAAACACTGCTCTCCCTGAAGCCTTCTTTTATGTTCTCATAGGAAATATCCTCTCTCTTTTCTGACTATCCTCAGTTTCTATCTGCTCTTCTTTCATGAACTTATCACTTTCTCCCTTATGGCAAAATGAATTGTGTCCAATTTCCTTTACTAGAGCCCGAGCTCTGTAAAGCAAGATTCTAGGCAAAATTCTGCATTTTGCAGAATTAATGGATAAAGAAATGCTTAGGAAGGAACTCAGAGGAGGGTTCAGAAAAATGAACTCCCAGGGCCTTCAGAGACAAGGCTTTTATTCACGTATGCCTTGGTATCTCCTATCAAACCAGAAAGTTTAAAAGAAAAAACACAGCAACAAGGATTCAGTTGGGCCATTTTGTAACCCATTTATATTGTGGGTGTTATGCTGGGCTTCATCCAGCCCCATACCAGCTCCTGGTACTGCATCAGACCGTCTGAACATTCATGGCTTCCTTGGGCCAACTGTAATTATCCAGTGTAAAGGAGTCATAGTCTGGAGTATAGACCAGGGATCTTACAAAAGCCTCCTTGTCCTTAGGCTCTGGGTAGTAGGAGGCCAGGTTGTGTTTGTACGCGTAGTCAAGAACCTAGGGAAAAAGAGATTTGACTAAGGAACTGGATCTAAGGGGAAACCTGCTTAAGGATCCCTGTTTGGGAGTCTAGGGGAGGGGAATACACCTTAAGGAACCAGACACATTTCTTTCAGGAGTATGGCTCATGAAACCACTGGATAGGAAGGATTTTAAGCTTTCTGCTTGGACAGGCAGCTTTGACATAGTGGAATAAATACTGAGCCAGGGTCAAGAGGCTTCAGCATAAATTCTGCCTGCTTTCAAAGGCTTGTGGGTCCTCAGAGGTGATATTATCCTTGTCGAGCCTCAGTTTCCTTGTCTGTAAAATGGGAGTAAGGAGACCTTTCTCTGGAGTGGTGTTAAGATAAAATTAGACAACAGGCAAAAGTGTCCAGAACCTGATTTTTTTTTCCATATGAATATGGGTTAAATTGGATGAACAGCCTATCCACTGTTCTCTGGGTATTAGGTTTGGCTTTAGGAGAATATGAATCTAAATATCGCCCAAAGGAAGAAACTGACAGAGTGGAGCTGGACCATGAGCTAGACTGTTAATCTTGAGGCTTGATTCTGGATTCTATACCAGACAACTCATGGGTAATGTGTGCTGTTGTACAATGCATTTTATGAAATTATTTTTAAAACTTACAGAAAAATGTAAAATATGTACACTAATAGAAATAATAGTATGATAAACCTTCATGTTAATAGTATGATAAACCTTCATGTGCCTATTATCCAGTTTTAACAACTATCAATGTTGGGCCAGTCTTTATTGCCGCATGTTCTGATTCTTTGAAAACCCATTATCTCTGCACCGTCTTATAGTCTGAAATATTCCATGAAGCTGATCACCCCATATCCAGCCATTCTGAGAAAAAGGGGAAGAAAGAGGTTTACTCTGGCAGGAGAGTACTGGGTGTGGAGCTTTTTCACTGTTCTCTGCTAATCTCCAGAAGTCTGGGAGAGAAACTACTGGCCCTTTGAAGAAGAGAAAACTGAGGCTCAGGTAAGTGAAATGATTGGGCCAATGTTACACCATTGCTGATTGGCAGAGCTGGGACCCCAAAGCCTGAGCTTTTTCCATGATGCTATGCAAGCTGACCTTTCTTATAAATGTGTGCTTATGATTCATTTCTAAAAAATTCCCACATTCTGGTCCATGGACTTCGATGACCTTTCTGCTTGGTGTATGAGGGGAAATCTAGGAGCTTTCCCAGAACTGGCCTGGGTGGGTGTTTGGGGTGGAGCTCAAGCTGCAAGCAGGAGTTTGTCACCCAGCCTCAGAGTTGCATGTAGTGCAGCTCAAGAAGCTCAAATGTCTCCACAGTTTCCATCCCCTTAGCCCTCCTAAAGTCACAGACAGAGAAAGTGGTTGAGCCTCACTACCCATATTACAGGGGTAGGATGCCCCTTACTTTGATGGCAATTCTCAGAGACACGTCTCGGATGGTACTGAGTGGTGGGTACAGTCTCCCCTGGGACAGATGCTGCTCAGAGACTTCCTGGGCAATTTGCTGGGGAGAAGGAGAGAACCGAGAGGAATAAGCTGAGTCTCCACTTTCCCAAAACAAGCCCAACCCATTACCCCAGAGACTCACCCCACCCTGCATAGTTAGTCAGACATTGCAGTTCCAACTGTTGACTCTGTCACCAGGGGAGCTTAATGCTTGGGCTTAAGAAAAGACACATCCTTTCTGTACTCTAAGATTGACTGGGGCTTAAAACAACTTAAGTATCTCTGAATTCCAAAGGAAGATGACTAAAGTCAAGATGAATAAATTTATGCCTGCAAAGAAAAGGCTATGAGATCTCCTCTTGGCTGATCCAGCCTGTTGCACAGGGATTCCTGGGTCCTTCACTTCCTGGGTTTCAGCTTCCTTCCACATGCTTGGTCCCATCTTGGGTGAGCATCTAGGCTATGTTATGTCTTTGTGTTCAGGCTCCTGGAGCACTTCCTTTCAGCCCTGGTCTCAGTCTGAGGAAGGCCTCTCCTCTGTGAGTGACTGAGTCTTATACATTATTTGAATAAACATCATAAGCACATCATCCTGAGAACAGAGCCTCCCATCACTTCCCTTCTAGGTTCAGACCTTGCCTCTGAAGGTTAAGCCTCATCTACCACAGGCCCTCAACCCCCAGGCTCAGACGCTGGAGCTTGGTCAGCCTTGCAAATCAGCCTCTTTAATGTGGTGGCTCTGAATCTACTCCCACCCAATCTTCTGGTATTAAATTTAAACTTTGGAAATGCTACTGGTGCTCTCTGATAACTGTGTATCTTAGAAGTGATGAGGCTAAGAAGTTTATCATGCCTCAGTGTTTTTAGATATCAGGGAAATGCAATTCCTCTTCTACCTCCTTCTTACACTTCCATCTTTCTTTTCCATTCATTCAAACATTAACTGAGCTCTACTATATCTTTCAAAACATAGAGCAGGCCAAGGCTGTCTCCTCATTTCAGACCTTTGTATGGCTCCTTCAAACTCCTTTCCATACAAGGCACTTCATCACTGGGCCCTCCTTTCCTCTTTAGCCTCACTTTTAGTCTCTAGGCTCTGTGCTAGGTGCTGAGGAGCCATATAAGGAAGGATTCTATGGTGAAGAAGCCATCGTCTTTTCCCTTATGGAGACTGGTGTGAGTGGACAAGTAACAAATGATTATAGCATTATAGTTGGTGAGTGCAATGGGAGGGGACATAGAGGCATGAAGAATGACAGGATCCTGTCTACCATGTATAGGAAAGGCTTCCTAGAGTGTCACAGGATGATATCTGAAGGACAAAGCATGAATTAGGGGAGAGAGAATGGTATCTAAATGCTGGAAGGTGAGAGAGAACCTGGGTATGAGACTGAAAACAGCACACTGGATAGATCAATGGTAGGAAGACATCAAAAGTGAGGTTGGAGAGGAAAGGAGGGCCTGGTGATGAAGTTCCTTGTATGGAAACCATGGGTAGGAGTTTGGACTTTATCCTGTATACACTAAGGAGGCACACAAAGGTCTGAAATTAGGGGAGAGACTTGGCCTGATCTTTGTTTCAAAGGATTCTCTTTGTGAAGGTATAGAGGATGGATTGAAATGAGAGCAGCAAGATTTCCATGGCTAGATGTGCATCTAGAGAAGTTATCTTGGCTGGGCGCAGTGGCTCATGCCTGTAATCCCAGCACTTTGGGAGGATGAGGCGGGTAGATCATGAGGTCAGGAGTTCCAAGACCAGCCTGGCCAAGATGATGAAACCCTGTCTCTACTAAAAATACAAAAATTAGCTAGCGTGGTGGTGGGCATCTGTAATCCCAGCTACTCAGGAGCCTGAGGCAGGAGAATCGCTTGAACCCAAGAGGCAGATGTTGCAGTGAGCCAAGACTGCACCACTACACTCCAGCTTGGGAGACAGAGCAAGACTACATCTCAAAAGAAAAAAGTTACCTTGAGAAGAGATATGTGTGTGATCACTTCTAAGATGGTGGGCACTGGCAATGCCCTTCAACAGGGAGTCAAGTTGACCTGGGCCATCCTGTGCTCACAGGACCAGTGACCTTGGGCTAGTGACGGAAACTCATATATGAGTAAGGACTTTACCTATTTTACAGAGTTGTTACAATGAAATGGGGTAGTACATGCACATCTCCTTAAAGCCTATTTTAAATTTCCATAGGAAAATCAAATTCAACTTAAATTATTTTCACTAAATGAACCCTTTTTAGAAATATAACCCGCCATGCCTTTGAAGACCATGATATGAGCTCCTATAGGGGAGGGGCCTTATTTTGCTCAGAACGGGTGCTTAATAAGTAGATCCAGGAGAGGTTCCTGTGTAAGTGATGGACACTGTTCATGAAATGATGGAGCTGAACTGCCTCACAGCACTGGAGGTGGTGGGGCAGATGTGTGGCTATCCCATGGGATTACATAGGAAGGACTCTAGCAGTTGTGTTTCTGCTCAGCAGGGGACTTGGCTTTCCGGCTGATTTCAAGCAAAAAGTACCTCTTTCCATCCAATGGGAACTTCACACAGCTCCCCCCATAGCTACAGGACAAGAACACCCACCATAGCAATGAGAAGAAAGACAAACAGAATACTCAAGACAAGAGGAACAGAGAGCTGTGACACAAAATCATAAGTAGTGTGCACAGGGCTGGGGGCAACTGTAAAGCCTTTGGGAGACATTATTTGCACAGTCTTGGAGAGCCAGGGCTCAAAGACTAGAAATAAGAAGAGACCTGGTGCATGAGGTAGTCTGTGGGACTCACAGAAGTGGATCCAGACAGGGCTGCGTGGAAGCCATACCCATGTCCATTGATTTCAGGCTCTCACTGGTGCCTCAGTGAGAAGGAAATGCAGAAGGACGTTAGAAGTCACAGGAGAGCCTTTGGAGCTTGTTGGGTGTAAGTATGCTTCATATTTTTATATGGCTTTGATTAGCTTAACCTCCCAACACAGACATTTCTGTGCCTTGGTTTTGTCACAGTGAGAGTAAATGTCAGGTGCCTGGCACTTGGTAACCATCTGGTAATTTCAGCCACTGTAACTGTTATCAATGACCATTAGTGTGAACAGGCTGTCATTCTTAATGAACTGATTCATGGTTTTCATCATGTCTCTACTAAAGAACTCTTGTGTGCTTTTCTAGTAAGATACCTGGAATAGGTACATCTCTAACACCTCTTATCAGTGCTCAAGATCTGGGTCCTCCAAGGAGACAAAACCAGGTATGACACCCCCCCTCCCTTACAGAAAGCTGTCCTAGTGGGGCTTACTTACTACCACCAGTTACTGCAATGATTTGGCCAAGGCCTGTGGCTGGAAGAATCCATCATCTATCATTGTCCACAAGCCCTCAGTTTCAGGTGACTTTGATGGTATCTCACCTGTCTAGGTATCTAGATGGCATTGCTAGAAGGCAGGAGGCAGCATGAGGCACGTCTCTTCCCTGTCAGTGCCTGTTGCTAATACCGTCTGCCACTATTCCCCATTCCCCCTCAAAAGTCCCATGTGTGATTGAAGAGGTCAGGCCTCAAGGTGGCCATGAGAGATGCTTGAGGTTTAAGCTTTTGGGAATCCACTGGCAACGTTGGGGTAGATGGGCAGAAATGATGAGAGAAATCAGGTATAGGACCCGGTGTCAACCCACAGACCCTACTGTAAGCATTTGAGGGAGCAGGGACAGTGATACCTCTGCTGTCAGGAGGAAGATCTCATCTGGGATGTGCCGGATCCCACCAGCGATGACTCCCAGTGCCACCCCAGGGAACACGTAAGCATTGTTTCCCTGCCCAGGAATGAAGGTCTTGCCATCTTCCAGAGTCACACTCTTAAAAGGACTTCCACTGGCAAAAATCCCTCGGCCCTGGAGGCAGGAAGAAAACCAGAGATGAACTTGGAACTGGCTTGGGGCAATAATAGTGGCCTATTCTTATTTTCCAAATGTTGGACTCTTCTTCATTCTCTCCCAAATGCCTAGTACTGTGCTGAGAACATAGCAGTTACTTAAAGCACATTTGTTTATTTGACTAGAAAGCTCAGTCCTCACCTATTACCCAGCAGCCAGGAAACTGCTGAAAGGTGATGGGGTTCACAGTGCTATTTTTATCACCTCCTGGGAGGGCCAACCCAGGACATGACAGGACATGGCCTAGAGCCTACAGGTGCCTCAGGTTCTGGGTTCTGGTCAAAGCTCTATGTTATTTAGGGTGAACCTTGAGCAGCATAGCACACAGGTAAGAGCTTGGGCTTTGGAGTCAGACCTGGGTTTGACAGCCAGCTCCACTCCTTATTAGCTCTGTGACCTTGGCCATGTTACTTCATCTTTCTGAAGCTCTGTTTGTTCATCAGCAATGTAGGAATATTTTTTCACCCTCATGGGGTTACTCATATTAATTTTACTATGTCCTCTCAGCTGGGGGAAGGAAGGACTCCCCGCTGACCTCGGTGACCCGGTAGCACTTCTCAGCCGTGCACTCGGCCTTGCTGGTGGGGTTGCTCAGGGCAAAGATGATAGGGCGCTCGTGGAAGGAGGCCATGTCCCTCAGAATCTGCTCCGTGAAGGCTCCTGCGATGGCAGCAACACCTACAGGGAAAAGCGGGGTAGTGGGGGTGCCTACTCTTTATAAACAACCCATTCCTCTCCTGCTGGTGGTGGGGGGGTGGAATTAGGAACACCATAAAAGACTTGGTCTTGGGCCTGGCATCTGCCACAAGGACTGAGGGAGCAGAGCTTTCCGATCATCCTACTTGAGCTGCCTGAGACCTCCTGTTTATCTCTAAGGGACCACTGGTCCATCTGAGGTCCCTGCCAATTAAGCTGCTCCTGTGAAGTCATTCCTGGGCATTTCCATGGAGAGTGAGCTGCTCCCTCAGTGCACAGGGAGATGCCAGGGTCTGCCTTGGAAGAGCAGTGCTTATCTCATTGTGGTCTCTGCACTTTTTTACTGCATTGTATGTTTCTGCATCAATGAACCCTAGCTCTGGCACCTTAGTTCTATGGTTTTTTATACAGCAGTCACTCAATAAAAGTTTGTAGCATTGAATTGCACATAGGATAGGGGAAAGAGCTGTTTCCATGGGTTACTTAGGCTTCCTGGCTGAGCCTCTGTCTCTGCATCTGCAAGTCAAGAGGGTTAGCAGGGCTGGGCAGTGGGCACCCTCTCTCCTCTTACCTATGATGGCTGTGGGCTTCACCAGCCTCACCACCTCCTCCAGGGAGTTCACTTCAGGATGGTCTTGGGCAAACATCTCCTTTTCATGGTTCAGGTGGCTCCTCCCCTATAGGCAAAGGAACACAGAGCAGCTGTGGTGGTGATGGCCTGTTGGGCAGGAGTATGGATGCATTTGGAAACTCTCCTTTCCTGCTGAGCCCCACCCACACTTTGTTCTGAGCTGTCAGAAGATTTTGGGCTCATACTCTTGACCACATTTCCTGGAATAACCTATGGTGGGACCTAAGCTTGTATGAGAGGGGGTGTAGGGTGTGTGTGTGTGTGTGTGTGTGTCCACGCACGTGCATGTTTCTTTAACCTAAACCACATATGGAGAATCCATAAATAATTTCTTTGAGCTGTTAGGATTATGGCTTCCTGAGCCAGGATAGTAAGGCTCTCAGGCAATGCCTGAGTCTCACCAAGAAGCTTTGCCCCAAGGCATCCAGCACCCAGACTCAGTTGAGGGATGGGGACCTGTGCCCCCGAGGGTCAGGGAGTTAATGTGAATGTGCTTATAAGAGCCATTAATCTCACTGTGAATAATGCTAAACTAAGCTCCAAGAAGGTCTTATAATGACTAGGCATGCCTAACCAGCTACAGTTCCTTACATTTCTTCAAATGGAAGTTGGCTGGCATAAATGCTGGTATATGGGTTCAGATGCTTTTGTTGATTCCTTTGGGTTAGCTGGCTTCATGGGAGCATGTGCGAAGATGTCAGCTTTGAGAGCTCCTTGGCTAGGGTTGAGCTTGAGGGAGTGAGAAACATGATGTTGAAAGATGGAGAAAACGGGAGAGTGGCAGTCTCTGGCAACCTGCACCTGTGGCCAGATTATGCTCTTGAAAGACATGGGGGTAGGAAGAGGGCTGAGTTCCTTCCAGCAGAAATCTTGCCCCATATGGAACAATAGGAAGGGTCAAATAGGTCAGTTTCTGCTGAGGATTTCTGCCATTCTTCGTCAATGTCTCTAGGTACTTCCCCTGTTCCCATCGTTGCCATAATTTTTCATCTCACACTGAAAATCTATGTTAGTGAAATTCTGGGAATTAAAGCACTGAGTGTAGCCCTAAGGGAGGGATCCTTCAGTTGTGTCTCTTACCACATGCTAGCCAGAAGCTGGCCTGTTTCTCTCTCATTCGTTCTTTCACTTACGCCTCACACATTAATTATGCACTTACCATGTGCCAGGCATTGATATCAAGACTCTGTAGCCTAGTGGGGAGACAGTAAAGGGACAGCTTCTCTACAGTGTGGTAAATGTATGGAGCATAGATACAGGAAATAAGCTTTTGGAGGAGGTAACATTTAAGTACTATCAGAAGATGAGGAAGAAACTGGGAAGAGGCTAAGGTTGAGAGTTGGCATGTGGAAAAAGGGAAAGGGCTCTTCAGGCAGAAGAACAAGATGTGTAAAGATGTGGAAGACAGAGCAGGTTGCTCTTGGAAACTATGATTTAATGTGGCTGGAGGCTAGTGTAAGTCAGGAAGTGGTGGGGGACAAGACTAGAAGGGGCACACATCTACACACTTGCACATACTTTTGGACAGAAACAATTAAAGCTACTTTGGAAGGAATCTTTTGCTTTAGAGCTTAGGCCATTGCCCTCGTTTTGCTCTCTATTCTGTTTGAGCAGTTTACTTCTTGGAGACCTCTTCCAGTCCAGTTCCTGGGAGCTGTAGGTGTCAAGAAACCTCCAGGTCTCCAGACTGACAGTACCTTGACAATGAGCCCCTTAGAGTCCACCATCCAGATCTTTCTTGTGGCCTCTGCCTTCGGTACACCTTCTTTCTCTAGGGCCATGACAAGGAGGTGGGCAATGCCCATGGCTGCCTGGAAGGTACCATAGGGTGCATGTTCAGACACAGGGCAAATAGATGCTGAACATTTATCTGATGTCTCACGCTAATGAGTCCCTCTTCTTTCCCCCACCTCCACGACTCCCAGGAGGCCTAATTAAGTCCTTGCCTTGAGATACCCACATGTTGGAGCCTACTAAATGTAGGCAGCTTGCAATGATCACAATTTGTTTGTGCTGCTTCCTCTTTTCAGAACCCCAGAATGCTTCCCTTTTTGTTATGCTTCCACCCATTCTTATTTTCCTCCTGGAACCACAAAAGAAACCCTCAACAGCACATACCTCGCCTGCACCTTGGAAAACAAACACGTGATTGGAGAGCTGGTTCTTGGTGATTCGCAGAGCAGCCAGGATCCCTGCCACAGCAACGGAGGCTGTGCCTGAAACAGAGTGGCCTGAGATCAGCCTCTGGCCACAGGCCCCCAGCTCCCAAGAGAAGACCCTTGGCAGACTTCCCCATGCCTTGCACCTATCGAGGAACAGGCAACTTTTCTTAGCTCTTGTGCCTTATAGGCACACAAGTTTTGGCTGAGGATACTGAGACTTCTTAACATCCTTCCCATGGTCCCTGGAGTACACAGTGTACATCCTATGAGGGCCTACAAAGTGACAGGCACCATGTCAGGCACTGTGGAAGACAGAGATGAATCAGACACGATCCTTGCCATCAGGGAACTCCCAGTTTACCAAAACTTGGCACAAAACACTAGAACACAATGGGTAGTCAGAGATCACTGGAAATTGTTACATTCATTTATTTTTTGAGCATCAATTATGAACCAGGCTCAGGTACTGAGCATACCATTGGTAACAGAATGGACCAAGCTCATTTCTGTTTGTAAGGAAAGAAGCTACTAAATGATGACAAGTGTGATGGCTGTTATAAAACAGTTGTTCATGACATACTTTTTGTTAGTTTATGTACAGAAAAGTATGTTATCAGCATCAGCCTACCTCCCAGCACCTCCATGTGTACTTCATGTACCAGTAGCATGGCATTATTCATTGATCCCTAAACATGCCATGCATGTTTACACTTCTGTGTGTTTGCACATGTTATTCTCCCTATCTAGAAGAGACCTTTTTGCAGTTCATTATTCCTTAACACTCAGCCCAAATGATCAGCAAGACATTCCTTGCTACCCCAGGCATCCTTAGCCACCCTTTCTTTTCCCATATCTACTTTTGCATCTAACCTGAATGAAGCTGGGCACTCTCTGATCAGGCTCACCACAGTACTGCATGCAAAAGAAACACCAAGTTGGCATCCAAGAAAGCATCAACAAGCAATTTAAATAAGAATTTAAATCACTTAAAGAGAGGGCGAGGAGAATTGCATTGTATGACCATCTCCTGAAATACCCTTTGTCCTTAATTTTCTTCAAAGTCCATTTATTAGGTGGAACTCCCCATTTTCTCTGCCTGGAGGCAAATAACTACATACTTAATACTCTTTGACCGTAAAACCCTGTTTCCTTTCAGTTCTACAGAGTCAGAATTTGTATTTAAAAAGATCTCCAGATGATTTGTATGCCATTCAAGTTTGAGATGCACCAAAATAGATGGCCACTCTAGGTTAGGTACTAGTTTCCTGCCATTGGCTAGAGGGAGTTTTCTGCTCGAGTCTGTTTCAGGGCAGCCTTTTGCCTCCCTGAAAGGATGGGCTGCACAAAGCATTTGCCACCAGATGGCGCCAAAAGTATTCCATCAGAGATGATCTCGTAGACACTACACTCTGGATGGGTCTTTTTCTTTTTGGGTGTCACCTGTCTTTTGGGGTTAGTTGCAGGTTGAATAACTGGGCTTACTCACAGAAATTCAGTGCTGAATGGGGATTGGAGATAATGGCATTCAACAGTTGTATAGATGAGGAAACCGAGAGAGAAGGTGGCTTGGGCCTGTCAGTCACCCAAAGCAGGGAAAGGGGTTTCCTTCCCAGGTTTGCTTCCATCCCTTCACGATCTCTGCCACTAAGATAGCCCTTCCTGATTCTAGTTGAAGGCAGCAGGAAAGGTGTTATGAGGTTTCCCTGGGGAAGGACAGAATGGGGTGGTACCAGAGGCAGAGGGAAGTGAACCTAGGCAGTAGATGTCAACATTCAGCTGTACCTCTGGAAGGGGAGAACTCAAAACAATGGGAAATCAGATGGTAAAGAATCACACGTTACAATAAAAGGATGCAAGGTCAGCTGCCACTTATTGATCACTCCTATTGTGGCCTTGGCTCTGTGCTTTGTGCTTACCAGCACAGCATTTGCTCAACTAATCTTCCCAACAACTTCATGAACTGGGACTACTGTGCTCCTATTCTTTTGCCCTCAGAAGTGGAGAGCGAGGCTCAAAGGAAATAGAAGTAATCAGGACAAAACTTCCAAATCCTCTCACTACCAAGTCTATAGACCCTCTGCTTCCATGTCCATATACTTGCCTTTACCCCTGTTACCATCAATGCCTCCCTGCTCCTAGCTAAAGCATCACTTGTGTACTGGATCTCATCATTTTTGCCTATTTGTCCTGTTATTCCCACTCCTATTTCCTGCATATCCAGTTTTGCCCACTCTACTGGATCATTCTTATCAGCATACAAATACATTGTAAAACTTCCATCTTTAAAAAGCCCTCCTGTGGATCATGAGGTCAGGAGTTCAAGAGCAGCCTGACCAACGTAGTGAAACCCTGTCTCTACTAAAAATGCAAAGATTAGCCAGGCTTGGTGGTGCACACCTGTAATCCCAGTACCTCAGGAGGCTGAGGTAGGAGAATCGCTTGAACCCAGGAGGTGGAGGTTGCAGTGAGCCGGGATTGCATCACTGCACTCCAGCCTGGGCAACAGAGTGAGAATCCATCTAAAAAAAAAAGCCCACCTTTGGTCCTATGTATCCCCACCCTATTTCTCACTCTCCTTTATAGTCAAACTCTTCTAAAGAGCAGAATATATTAACTGCCTCTAGTTTCTTCCTCCTTGGTCCCAATGAAACCTAGTCCAATAGAATGACTGACCCACCTCTTGTCAGGGTCCCCAAGTACCTCCACGTGGTCAAATCCAGTAATCAGTTCTCAGCCTTCTTTGACCTCTCATTAGCATTTGGATCTGTTATCCATTCTTTCCTTTGGGAAACTATTTCTGTACTTGGCTTCTGGAACCCCACACTCATTAGGTACCTCACTGGCTACTTCTTCATGGTCTCCTTTCTGGGACTCTGCTCTGAGGCCATCCTCTGAGGTAGCAAGCTGTTCTAACTACAGACCAGAACTCAAGAAGAAAAACACTGGTTCTTAAGCTCCAAATTACAAAGTTTGGCAAATAAAGTTATCATCTTCATCATTAACTTGCATTTTTGGGGTGCTCTTGGGCTATGCACCAGGGATTTTAAAGCTGGAGAGGAAGCTACTTAGCTGTTTGAAGTAACCACTCTGAGAAGCCCATGGGTCCAGGGATGTGCTGGGACATGGCCTGTGCCCATAAATGCCATGGGCAGCTGAAAGTGTGGCTGGTTGTTCCTATTTGTGACGAAAGAAAAACAAGTTTTCTTTTTCAGAAGAAGCTTTCCATAATTACATTTCCTGCAATCCGATGCTAGAGGTTGTAGGTTCAGGAAATAGCACAAAAGAACATGCTGAAAATGTAGTTTCTGCTTTTAATAGTCAGATTTAATAAAGTTTCCATGCTGAACAACAGATTATTGGAGGAAATAATTTTTACTGCTTTATCAGCTAAGGGAAGACTTCTGACCCAGGAAGCAAGAAGGACAGGAAGAGTTCGGCTCTGTCAGGGTCTGGCCATGGTGGTTTTGGAGGCCTGGGTCCCTCCTGGGACAGGACAACTTCTGCTATGAGGCCACACCTGCTTCCATAATCCATAAGAATTACCTTCCTACAGTAGCTGCTGCTATTCATTTATTCACTAGTATGTGCTGAGTGTTTGTTCTGGGCCTTTTCTGGGCTAGGCCTTGAACAAATAAAGACAAATAAAACAGTCTTGTTCTCAAATAAAACTCTCAAGGAATTGCCAGCATAAGTGTTTTAAAAAATTCATGTTTCCCTTTATTGGACACCAAGCAAAGGCCTTCTAGACTACTTCACTGTAATTTCTGTATCATAAGGGACTTTTCTGGAGCTCCTGGACTCTAGATGGCAGTTCCCTGGCCCATGGAGAAGGTGGGGCTAGGCCTAGTTTGCCACAATTTGGAAGGAGCCAGAAGGAATAATGATCATCTTTTTGGCTTCTCTGGAGTTTCAGCTGTTGCAGTAGCTAAAAGGGGAGGTCTCCAAGGAGCCAGATACACGAGATCTACATGAACCTTAGAACTAGGAACAGTCCTGGAAGTGAAGAACAGCCTCAGAACACAGGACTTGGTGAAAAAGAAGACTTTGGGAACTGGGGAGAGAAAAGGTTAAAGAAATCAGGGGAAATTTCACTGTAGGGGGAGAGAACAAGGAAAGACCTAGAACTGCTACTCTGTGTAGTGGTGGTGGTGGGCAAGAGAGAGGGCAGTAGACCCCCAATAGCTAGAAATAATCCTGGGCATCTGGTAAACAAGACAAACTAGCTGCACGAAATTTTCAGAGATAAGCCATTCCTGCCTGTCCGCCCCTTCCCTATTGTGGCATATGAAGACTATGCAGTCTCCCACACCTTCCCCATCCAACGAGGTCATCATCTTTCAGGGATGTGTTTCGCATTTCTTGGCTGAGATCCCCACCTCTAGCCCTGGGGAACTTGGAAGCATTATGCAAAGTGGGCAGCCACCATCCAGTTTCACTCCCAGATCCTGGGGAAGAGTGGGATCGTCTAGAGCCTGTGGCTTGGCCCTGGATGCAGTATCCTGGGAGAAGTGAAATGAGCCTTTATGGCCAAACAGAAAGTAGTGAAGAACAGAAAGAGAATTCTAGGCAGAGGGACCAGCACATTGAAAATCATGGAGTTGGTAGAAAACACAGAAGAGTGACTAATTCAATGGGCTGGAATAATAGGGTATTTGTGGAAAAGGGGAGAAGAGTAAAGTGGGGACCTGTCTCTTTTATCCCCAGAGTTCCCCAGTCCTCTGCTCATATATGGCCCTCTCCTCACCTCCATCAAAATCTCTGCCTTAAGTCTCCTCCTTTCCTTCTTCCCTCCAATATCTATGTGTCAGGAGCCTACTAGGCATCAGAGATATTAGTAATAGGTACCATGAACTAAGCACTGCTACATGCTTGTCCCTACCTATACATCACTGCAATCCTTACAACAATTCAGTGCCATAAACGGGTGTTGGTAATAATTAACAAGGAATTGGCATAGGCTACAACCAACCGTAACAGATGCTGGCTTTATAAAAGCATCTTGGCCATTCTGGTGGTACTTGCCAATGAGCAGTTGCAGCTGTTAAAACTGTTAA